AGCTCTTTTGGTGCCAAGATTTTGAACTGTGATGTGCTTTTCCACTGCGAACACACTGGGTCTCGGCCAGCAAAATCAGTGCCATTTCAACCCCAAAGTTTTGCTGGTCTGGAACCAAGGAAACTGTGACGCAAGTGGCAGTAGGGCGTGGCACTGCCATCACCATGTAAAGTTGATGACACCACCATTTTCCAAAAAAACAGAACAATGATGAACGAAAACAGTGAAAGCAGCAGTGAAATGAATCATCAGTGGTCTGCAGAAAAAACCAATGCATTACTTGAGATTTGGTCTTCACAAGAAATACAAGACAAGCTGGAAAGCTCTCAAAGGAAAGCTAAGGTGTACATAGAAATAGGAGGAGATGCTTAAAGCCAGATTCAGCAGAATATCACAGCAAATTATGAACAAACTGAAAAGGCTTAAAAAGGAGTCTACTTCTGTTTCAGTACAAGGGAATGCCCACAGCCAGATATGTAATGGTTTGGCTCTCAAACCAATGAAAACGTGGAACCAGCACCAGCTCTGGCACAAGCACCAGCACTTTGTTAGTGGAAAAGAGGTATAAGTGTCTAAATGTAACAGTTACTAATAAGTCTGTAAATCGAGGCAAAATGAACGAAATTCAGTCTAGTTGTATTTTGCTTGAATTTTGCTTTCCAACCTGAATAGATGAAAGTATGTTTACCAGAATAAATATGATTTGAACACAAAGTAAAACTGCAAATATCAGACACCTATAGCATGTTTTTGATTAGTCTGTGCATAAAACGTTTCAAAAAATGCTGCTTTGAATTTACTTGGGAGATGCAAAAGTTTGGGCGCCCAGTCCAATGACATTTATTCATTGTCTACACTCTCAGAAAAAAAGGTCTGAAACTGTCACTGGGGCAGTACCCCTCTTGACACTAGCATTATACCCTTAAGGTTACATCTCAGTACCTTTAGTCAGGGAACATAATTGTACCATAATCTATTTCAATTATATTTTCTAAGTTGTACTGACTCCACACACCCCGTCTCGTCTCCAGACTTTTTATTTTGTTATTCTGTTTTAAAACATTAGGTTATGAAAACATACAAATATGTACTTTTCACCTGAGAAAACCTATTTAAGGTACACAATTGGACCTTGAAATCACTGTTGTACCTATGGGGGAACATTTACATTGTTTGTAACTGGATAAACGAAAAACGTACCTGCATGTACCTGTAACCTTTATTTCTAACAGTGTTAGTGGAATTATGTACACATCCTCTACAGAGAACACACTTCTGCACATTTAATACACAATTACTGTTTATTTGCTGAAGTTAACATATTGTAGAGGAAAAAGAAAAGCTAAAATATTGCCTGTGTACTTAATTTCACTAAGAAAATCAACAAAACGTCGCTTGACCAGGATGTTCACACTTTTGCAGACGACTGTATCTTGTTGTTTATTTTAGAAGACTTTCTTGTAACATTGTAACATTGTTTGTACATGGTACAAAATCAATCTTCAGGGCAAATCTCAAGAAATATCTGTCTGATTACTGTCAAAATTAGCAGATGTGGTTACTATGGCAATATGCAAAGATGGCCAAAAGCAGTTATACGAACTTGTTCTTGTTCTAGAAACCTGTATAACTACGTACACCGATCAGGTATAACATTATGAGCACCTCCTTGTTTCTACACTCATTGTCCATTTTATCAGCTCCACTTACTATATAGGTGCACTTTGTAGTTCTACAATTACAGACTGTAGTCCATCTGTTTCTCTGCATACTTTGTTAGCCCCCTTTTACCCTGTTCTTCAGTGGTCAGGATGGACCCATGGATCCTCACAGAGCAGGTACTATTTGGGTGGTGGATCATTTTCAGCACTGCAGTAACACTGACGTGGTGGTGGTGTGTAAGTGTGTGTTGGGCTGGTCTGAGTGCATCAGACACAGCAGTGCTGCTGGAGGTTTTAAACACCTCAGTGTCACTGCTGGACACCCATCCTCTGAAATTAATAACTAATTCTAAGTGTAGGTATTTGGACAAAAGCAGAGCTGTATGCTTATTAAGTTGAATGGGATATTTTCCAAACATTCTGTAAAGCTTGTCTGACCTCACAGCAGTTGCTATGAAATAACATATCACTGCTAATAGTGAGGGAATGGAAATAATCGAGTGGGTGGAGAAGAGTGGGTGGAGGTGTAGCAGCAGGCTGGCCCTTCCTCAAACACTTTCAGTATACAAAGAAACAAAGACACGGTCAGGAAAAGTGAGAAACGGGAAGAGAATTAAGTAAAATAAAAGTGTAAGAAGCTAAAAGGCTATTGTGGAATAGCAGTAGAAGAGCAAGAAAGAGTGCGAGAGGGTGACGGCGGGGAGGAGAGCAAGAAGTGAATTTTTTCAAAGGGTTATGCAGAAATTAAAAGAACGAGTTGGTGGTGTTTTTGGAAGGAAAACTAGGAATGGTTTGGGGAACTGGGGACTCCAAGAAAGGTGCTTTGCTTTAGACCCATATGGGTAATTAATCTATTGATGTAATTAAACAAAATCAATGGACGAGAGAGGGGGAGAGAGAGCGACGGGAGACCTTTTCCACATTGGCTTTCCAGGAACAACGTCAGGCCCCACATACCTTAAGTGCGATGTGAAAAGCCAAATTTTTTTCTTTTGCAATCTGAATATGTAGCAACACAGAGATTCTTCCACATATAGTACTACAATACCATGACCTTCATTCGTTTAATTTCCAGTCAAAGCTGCCACTCTGAACCAGTTTTTCAATTTTCAGGAGATATTTCTGAGGAGATCAGATGGAAACAGGAGAAATTAGGAAAATAAGTGACACATAATGAGAGTTTCCAAAACTGGAGTTCAAAAAATGATTAACAGACACAGAGAAAACGAGTGCATTTACATGCACTTAATAATCTGATAGCTGCAGAAAATCACTCTGTCAATAATTCGTTCAGTATGCGCTACATAAACTTTGATAATCAATCAGATAATGGGAAACTCCAGATCTACATGAGTAAGACAATGATTGGATTTCTGCTCTGCAACCAGCCAATAAACTCACAGAATAAGATGTGACGTACCCTCAAACATTATGCTGTGACCTTTTTTTAAGCACTGAGTGACTTTAGCGAAATCTGAATATACATTATCTATAAGATGACAAAAATTCAAATTCTTCATTTCACCAAACATAGTTTTTTAAAATCGCTCCAAAAGTGATTTGTTGCCATCTCATAGGCGCTTGTTAAATGCTGCTGGCTACTTCTGGGACAGCGGTCTGTTTTCATATATATGCAGACTGAGAAAGAAACCAGTGTAAGAGTATACATGTGCTGAAAATCCAGCTCTCTTTATTGGATTTGTTAATTGGATTTCTTGGCCTTAATTCTATCTAAGAAATAGGGGTATGCTGTATATGTGACCCCTTGAATATCAGATGACTGCCAAAATCTGATAATGATTGGATTTACTAAGTGCATGTAAACACACTCAATGGGACTCACCAAAACTGTCCCCATCTGATAAACAGACTTAAAGCTTTCATCTTTGGGAGAGATTCAAGCTGTACTCTGCCTTCACATCTAAAAAGGCTACAAGTGTCCATCCTTCCCCTGTGAGAAGTCAAGTCAGTGCGATGAGTCTGAAAGGATATGCAGCTGTCAAGAAGCTGTTACTGAAGGAAAGAAATAGATGAAAAAAAATAATGCAAATCAAGTAAAGAAGCTGCTGGTGTTCTCAGAACAAGGGGCTGACACACCCAAGAGTCCAGACTAGAAAAAAGTGAAAGTTTGCATGGATTTTTTTTCCCTTGGAAATCCTTGACCTACCAGACTCTAGGTGAACAGACTGACCCTTGTTTAAATACGAATCATAACAGTTTTTGGTACATAAAAACAAACAAATATTGTAAGCGGACTTCAAATTTAGAATTAAGCTGCTTTCGTTATTATGAGTCCAGACCTCAACATCACTGAATGCGTTTGGGATTATTTGGATCCAGAGAAGCAGAAAATACAACCAACTTCTATGACTGACCTTTGTGTGGAGAAATATCCCAGCAGATTTCTTAGAAAAACTGAAACCAAGCCTGCTGAGTAGAACAGAAGCTGTACTACAAGTAAAGAGTGAACACAGTTGTTGAGGCTTCTGCGTTCATTTTCTGTTAAATATGTTTTCTTTTTTTTCCTGACACTAAAAACAAATACCTTGTACTTAACGGCCGTTTTAACAGGAAATTAAATAAATGCAGGTCATTGACTTTTCTCACAGATTAAGCACTGCATGAAAAGCCTCTTAACATCTGGAAGTGTAGCAAAGCACAAAATCTTGCATATAAACACATCCACTTTTCTTGTTCAGCCTCAGGCGCTGTTTACTGTTTTCTTTAGGTGGCTGAAACTGGACAGTTACTGATATGCCTCCCATTTTTTCAGGGTTCATTTATTAATAGCTGTTTCTTAAAGGCGCATCCATCTTACCTATCGATCCCAGCGAGTGATGGCGCTTGTGACAGGTATTTTATTGGACATCTGTTATGCCAGCAGAGCACTTCTTGAAAATTGAGCTAAAAGAACAAATAAATAAATAAAAATCACAAGAGCCTACAGAAGAAGATTTAGGGGGATTTAGTGAGAAATGGAGATGGATGGATGGACGAGAGCGGTGGGAGGAAGAGGAGTGGAAGAGACGGAGAGCAGAGCGAGAGGGAGGGAGAGGAGGACATGAACAGGAGTAAAGTGTGATTGGAAAAGACAAATGGCTCAATGTAATTCCCCTTATGTATCGCTCCATCAAGCTACGATGCACAGGCCAATCAGATCCAATCAAATTCGGTCCCATACGAATCCATCCAAGCATTGGGTTCCACTTGTTTTTAAAGTGACAGCGCCGGTCAGTCGGGTTAGTTCCTAACAGAAGATACTAAACCCCAATTAGGGTTCATTTTCGCCTCAGTGGATTCTGCCAAACATGTTTTATCTCTTTCCATCTCTCTCTACAGGTATTACCGTCCTCCTCTCGCTAACAGTCTTCATGTTGTTGGTGGCAGAAATTATGCCTGCGACCTCTGACTCCATTCCACTCATAGGTAAGTGTGTGTGCGTGTGTGCTTGAGTGTTTAGACCTTCTAAATAAGGCACACATTTATATTCATTCACGGTGCAAAACAACGATTTGTATGCATGGTGTACCTGTGCAGTTTGAGCCTTCACATCAGTACTTCCTAGAGTAGCCCTGTCCTGCTCAATTAGGAGTTCTCTTTTAGGGCTGCAAAAAAATGAATATTCAATTATTCATGCAAATCAATCAACTAATAATTGATTAATCAGCTTAAGTGTGTCTGAAAGGATTGATAGCTGTTGAGAAGCCGTTACTGAGAAAAGTATACAAAGAACAAAAAAGACCTTTTGCAAACCAAACAAAGAAGCTGCTGGTTTTCTCAGAACAATGGACTGACCACCCCAGACCTCATTGGCTTAGATGTGGCCTCTAAATGTGATGTAACAATAAAATGTTTGGCAATATTCTAACAAACTGAGCAGCTGTTCTTGCTGTTCACCAAGACCTAATTTGCCACCATGGAAAAAATGTGATGCTTTGTTTAAGCTTGCCTATAAACAGTAATAAGCGATAGCTAAGAATAAGTGATACAATAATAGAATTGAATAGTAAATATGTCAATTAATGTTATAGCTCATCAGGCTGCAGCATCATTTAACTAGTGTAATGTGCTAGTCCACACGCTATCAGTGGACAGGTTTCCAGGACAAGCAGATGGCTTTTTTTTCACATGAAATTTGTGTACAAAATGAGTTGTATTTGAAGCTAATTAACCAGCGCTTGAGTAGTTGCATGTGTAATGTATCTATCACTGTGACAGCATGAGCTCCCAAATGTTCAACAGCTTTTTGAAGTAGCTGCTAAAAACGAACAGAAACTAACTAACATTAATAATGTATGATGAGCTTTAGTAATGAATTGCCTACAATGTCAACTGCGCATACTCAGGGAGAAGTTTGGTTCGTCAGAACATTGGCATGGAAGGAAAGCTTTTAGTTTATAAGCTTAAGGTTGGCTCCCTATTCACCAACTTCTTATTCAGATCTTCTATTCCACTTCAAATGTTGCACCATTTATGGTTGAATGTAAAATTTAAATAACTTCAGCTGTATCCATTTATTCACCGTTCTCCTGCTTCAGAATCAACACCTGCATATTTTTTACGGTGGTTGAAAGTAGCGTTATGCTTCCGTTGAAAGTTGGACTTATATTGTGTGTGACTATCCTTTATTTTAAGAAAATGCTCCTAGGCTTCTTTTTAACCTTCAGCCATAATTGTTCTTTTTCTTACACTATCTGACAATATAAGTTAACTGGTATTCTCTTCAGGTTAAGTCATTAACTCACTCTAGGTTGTGTGTCACTTTGAAAATGTAATAGAAAATCAATAATGGAAATATTTGCAGATGATTTCTTGTTGTCAACATTATCGATATTGTCAAATAATTGTTTCAGTCCTATTCTCTATGCTCTAACACCAGAGCCAGCTCTAGACTATAGGACCCCTTGGCAAAATTTTACTTTAGAGCCCCCCAAGTGAACCTGACCAACTCATCTTAGTATTTGTTTACTTAATCGGTTATTTGAATAAGGCAGTGTTGAAATAGAGTGAACATCATCGCTTATGGTAGGTGCACAAAACAATAACAACAAATATATTTCTGTTGTTATTATTGCATATTACATATTTTATATAACAAATGTATATTAAGTTTTAATTATGTATATCTACCATTATGAATAGAGCAGACTAAATAAACTGTCTTAGCACAATAACAGTTACACTCCAGATACCCAAACCGAGTCCGATGAGGCCTGCCAAAATATTGAGTTTCAGGTTTTCATGTGCAGCATCTGTCTCAGGTCGGGCTCAGGTTTGTTTTCTGATTTTTTTATGTTCTCTTCCACTTTTTCTGTCTCATGTGGATGCATGGTCTCTCTCTCTCTTTCACTCTCTCTCTTTTAATGTTAGCTGTATCTGAAATGGCTCCGGAGTTTGAGAAGAGGGTGAACGTGCCCCTGAATGAAACCATCGATGATGAGAGGGGTGTTTTTGGATGGTGAAAAGGTCACAGAGGATTGTACAAAATTGGTTCTCTAAAGCAGCAGTTTTTTGGTATAAGGCCCTGTTTGTGGATAGATAGTGCCACTGTGTACCCCTGCCTTTGTCCTCCCGTTACCATGGTTATTAATTAGACTATTACACTAAACAAACCAGGACCATGTCTTACCAGAACCTTGTCTGTTTTGCAAGCTTACTCCACAGCTATTGCTGACCTGGTATGAAGTTGTTTCTATGACATTTCAGATGACTTTAATGACACTGGATGGCCGCAAATTGTGATTGGTTGGCGTGCATGTTCAATTTTAATCATTTTTAAGTACCACTTTTTAGATATGGCTGCAGCAGATTTAATAAACTGACAAATTAAAAATGGAGATACAACTTCTACATTTTTGGTGGTCTTTTTGCAGCCACGGCCCCCAGTTTAAGTACCGCTGCTCTAAAGAACCATCCACTAAAAGGTTGAAAAGTGGTTCTTCCATGGCATTGTGCAAAGGGTCCTTTTTGGGATCTTTATCTTTGAGAGCACAGAGCAGTCATACTCTACATGTGCCTATCAGTTCTCTTCATACATTAAGAGAGTGGGGGGTGTAACTTGAATCAGTGACATTGATTGGTATTATGGCTAGTTGCAACCAAATCAACGTATCCAATAAGAAAATCATTTACTCTTTTCATCAATCTGTGATGTGGAGCCCTCCTGCAATTCAGAGACCTTTAGCTATTGCCTCTTCCCCCTATAGCTGATAACACACTCAATTTAACTCAGGAAGGGCTTGTTAACCTTGTCTTTGTCCCCTTTTAACTCCTTAAATCTGCTCCCAGACTTGTATTCAGAGTAAGGCATGTCAGCCTTTTAGCTTAAGTTATGTTGCTAACTGAGAAATCTTTCTTTGTGAAGCCAAAAATATGTGGACATCCTTCCTATTTATTGGGTTTAGATGTTTTAGGCACATCCTAGGAGGTATATGAAATCAAGCCCATAGTGTTCCAATCTTTATAGACAAACATTGGCTGTAGAATGGGTCGTACTGAATAACTCAGTGTCTTAAAATGTGGCACTGTCATAGGATGCCTTTGCTACAAGTCAGTACATAAAATTTCTGCCCTGCTAGATCTGCGCTGGTCAACTGTAAGTGCTATTATTGTGAAATATGAGCATCCAGGAGCAGCACAAGCTTAGCCATGAAGCAGTAGACCACGCAAACTCAGAGCGGGACCAGAGCTGAAGCACACAGCCTGGAAAGGTTGCCTGTTGTCTGTAGCATCATTCACAGTTCTAAACTGCCTCTGAAAGCAACATCAGCCCAAGAACTGTGCACCAGGAGCTTCATGAAATGGGTTTCCATGAGGTCACTATGCACAATGCCAAGCGTTGGCTGGAGTGATGTAAGGCACTCCGCCACTGGACTCTGGAGCAGTAGAAATGTTTTCTTCAGTGTAATGAATCACACTTCACTGTCTGACAGTCTAATGAATGAATCTGGGTTTGGCGGATGCCAAGGAGAATGCTACTTACCGGAATGCATAGTGTCAACAGTAGAGTTTGGTGGAGGAGGGATAATGGACCAGGGCTGTTTTTCAGCATCTGGGCTCGGCCCCTTAGTTCCAGTGAAGGGTAGTGTTAATGCTGCAGCATGCAAAGATATTTTACACAATAATATGCTTTCAGTATTGTGGCAACAGTAGGGGGTTTGAGGAAGGTCCTTTCCTGTTTCAGCATGACTGTGCCTCTGTGCCCTGACCTCAACCCTACTGAACACATTTGGAATGAATTGGAACATCGAATGTGATCCTGGCCTTCTCATTCAACACAAGTCCTGACAGAATGAGCATACATTTCCAGAGACACACTCCAAAATCTTGTAGAATATCTTCCCAAAAGAGTGGAGGCTGTCATAGCTGCAACAGGGTGTTTGATCCCAGGTTTTTGGAATGAGATGTCCAGCAAGCTCATATAGGTGTGATGGTGAAGTGTCCACATACTTTTGGCCATATAGTGTACCTCTACGCACTGAGAAACCCTGTTTTAGATGCTATGTGACACTTTCAGTTGATGTAGTCCTCATTTAGAGTCCACTTAATTAATTGACAGCACGGTTGTTCTGAATTATGGGGTTATGAATGTAGATGTTAAAGGTTTGGCCTGAAAGCACTGCAGGCTGTTCCTTTTCACAACGAACTGAACTTCATTTTGTGCAAAAGCCAAACGGCTGTGGTCTCGCCCTGGCGACCAGACCATCTGCTTGTCTTCTAAATGTAATTGGCTGAATAAATTTTGGAACAGAAATAAAGTCAGTTCAGTGGGAACGAATGGGCGAACAGAAAAAAACGTAGAGGCGAGGATGAGCTAGTGAAACCAAGGCCTTTTGTCAGCCCCCCAAATCCCCATTTTTCTTTTCTCCCTCATTTATGGCCTGCAGAAAAGCGCAGAGTCATGATCTGTGGGGATATATAGCAACTGTTGGCATGTGTCTGGTTATGAATGGCTCACTAGCTCTCTTCCTCCCTTCTTGTCACTCCTTCTCTTCCCCTAACTGCTTGCTTATGACTCATTCCTCTTTCCTGCATACTGCTCCTTCTCGCTCTCACATACTCTCCTCATTGCTCACTCTCTCTCTCTCTCTCTCTTTCTCCTTATTGCATTTTTTGTAAGCCGATCTTTATTGTTTTTGCAGGGTGGAGAGAAGCCATTGTACTAAGAGACTGATATATTAAAGGTTAATGCATTCTCTTTTTCCTCTTTCTCTCCTCTGCTCTTTCTCTCTCTCAGGGCAGTACTTTGCTAGTATAATGATCATCGTTGGAATGTCAGTCATAGCGACGGTGGTTGTGCTACAGTATCATCATCATGACCCAAATGGAGGAAACATGCCCAAATGGGTAGGTCTCTTTAAGCACGTGCTAATATGGAAGTTGTGAGCAGTTACAAAGACCGATAATTTACATCTTACTTACAAACAATTTCAACACTGTAATTCATATATGAAGTGCACTATCAAAAAAATTACATATTAAGCATTGATTGATTTTGCAAGACATTTAAAGCTACAGCTATCGAACTGTCATATAATGAGTCTATCACTAAAGAAAACCCATCAGTCAGTCAGGATGGAATGAAGCACTACATTCAGTAAATGCAGTGTTTAAAGGAAAGAGGCAAAACAACTTAAAATGGTATAGGTGTGATGTAGTTTTTATAGCAATGTTTGCTTGCGCATTGGATAATTTAATTAATAGCTTATTCATTTGAAGTGTTAGTAAGTTACATTCCTTTCAAACTTACCAAAATACCTGGATTAGTAATTGTGCTAGCTAGCATACTTCCTATCCTAATGACAAACTAACCAACCTTTAAACACCACATTTACTTTGTGTAACGCTTCAGTTCTGTCCTTTAGATTGAAGGTTCTTCTGTAAAACCAGACAGTCTGTTAACCTGGACTTTTAGTAGAGTTTTTTTGTACACTGCAGTGCCTACAGCTAATAATGATACTAAACTAAAATTCTTTACTAAAGACTTAAAGAACTTAATTTGTTATTTCTGAAAATCTCTGCTTTTTAGTGTACCCAGCATCTATGAGCTTCAGAAATGATGTTTTTGGGTCCATTCCTCTCTTTTTGGGCTAAATTTGGTCTAAAATAAAATAATAAACCCCAAAAAAAGAGGTAAGTACAAATGTAGTACAAAGCCGTACAGATGCTGTCATCATAATGAAATTAAACATAAAAAGGAATTAATAGCTAGATATTAATGACTAAAATGTAAAAAGTACATCCCTTTTCTCACAAATATACTTGAGATAAAGTAAAAGTATCAATATCTGAAAAAATTCAGGAAAGTATAAATCCACCAAAATCTTACTTGAGTAAAAGTAACTGAGTAATTATAACTAGTTATTGCCCATCTCCACTGTGTTCTCTACTGTGCTGTGCGTTTCAGCAAGCTGAAAAGAATGCACGTGTCCAGAAATGTTGACTGCATGCGTGTTGGTGCATGAGCAAGCTCAAAATGAGGTGCTCAAGGTGCAAAAATTTAATTATCAGTTATAATTCTAATATTAGATTGATAATAATAATTAAAGAAACAATATGTGATATTTTTGCTGTACTAAATCATAATATGACAACGATATGTTCTTTAGAGATTAAGGAAACATGCTAAGTTGAACTACTGGCTTCTTCGTCAACAGTGCTACAGCCAGTATGTTCTCCTTTGAACTTTCTGTTCCCGGAGCGGAAAGTCTGTTTGTGTTTTGGCCTGTGATCACGCCCACTGACAATTTCCCCAGTACCGTTTCGACACCCCAGGGTGGCAGATTTGAAACCAATTGGCAGGCGAACACAGCGTACTGCAGCCATGGAAGCAAGCAAACGAACTGGATTCCGACCTAAAAAGCCTCTGCATCCTTCTAAAAAGCTCCATGGCCGGAGATGTAGTAAAACGCAAGTAAATATTGGTGCTGCATTTGAAAGACGAAGACAGCTTAGAGCCCAGAAAGACTTTTTGAATGCTGATTTTGCTGATTTTCTCCTGAACAGGTAAGCATTGAGCCTCAGTTAAGGTTAGCGAACCTTAACTAATTTCTCATGGCTGCTAGTAGGGATGAGCATTTTAAGTCATTTTAACATTTGAGTACTTACATTCATACTCTGTGGTCTGTGTGTGACTTCAGGGATGCTGAAGTTGGCTTCCTATTTGCCAGCTTCTTGGCCTCTTTCAGATTTTCCCGTTCCACCTTAAATGGTACCTCAGGCATCAGAATGTAACTGTGGCATCATTTAAGGTGGAACGGGGAAATTCAAACAAAAAGTTGGCAAATAAGAAGCTGACTTCAGCTTCCTCAAGGCAGCGAGTATTTTCAGAGCCGCTGGCTTTTGTGGCTTAACTTAGGCTACTGTACATAGCCCACCATGCACCTAGCTGACACTGACAGAGTTATAAAAATTCACATTAGCTGGTTTATATTATGCAAACAATAAAAAACATAGCAAACATATACATTAATATATCAACTTAGAGTGTATGACTTCTCATCGCTTGCCATTATCAGAGCTTAATGTTATCAAAGTTACGCTCAAAGTAACGTTGCACTCGTTCATGTATGTTCATTGTCCTCAACCTGGTAACCTGCGTGAGCTTCGAGTCTGGGGAGGAAGAGGCTGGGGCAGACAAATAATATATATTGGCTAATGATATAATGCACCCCTTGTTTTTTATCTCTCCTTTTACTTGCACACATATACACATACTTTGTACATATTTTGTTAATTTTCAAAGTGAAAATAATTCAATATCCTCTGAAAAGAACACACTTCTGCACACTTAAATACACAATAACTGTTTATTTGCTGTATTTAGCCTATGGGAAAACAGTAAAACATAAAATTTGGCCTGTGCAAAAGTTATGGCTTTAGATAGATTTTATGTTTTTTTTTTCCAATTTTCAAACTTAACAAAAAAATAGTGCACTAAATTTGCAGAAAATGCCAGATTTAATTGAGTAGATAATGATCCCTGTAGATACTGTGGTACGTCTGTATAAATGCACATCCATTACTGCGGATGTTTGTGTCTCAACTCCTCAAGGTAAATTATTTCTTACTTCTTGTCTTGCTGTATTGATAGGTGCCATTAAGTTACCTGGGTCACTAATAATATGGATCGGCCTTGCCAGCGTGGTACGAATGAGTAAATGGAGTACAGATGGACCTGGATCTGCAATCTATCTGTTCTGATGAATGGCCTTACTTTGGCATTCTGCTGGCCAATTAGCAATTCAGCCGATGTTTTAATCGAACCTTGCCTGCTCATAATGCCAACTTCACCAGAAACCACCCAGTAATGAGCACGCTCATTCAGTCTGCAAAGACTAATATCAACCATTGGCTGCCACTGCAGATGTGTTGTGACCTTAGAATCACAATAGGGGGAAAATGTCTATGATTATTCACAGACAGGCAGCTTGTTTACAAAGGAAGTGCCATATTGGCTGGCTCAATGCTAATTTTTTCATTCATCAGTATCAATGTGGGCTAATGACAACGCATTAGGATAAAAGCACTCAGCTATTCGTGATGGCAATGTTAAGGTTGTTTTAGGTCATTTTTGAATGACTGTGTATTTTTGGAATTGGTGCGTTTAAATTTAAATATGTAATGATGTTATAAATGTGTGATTAAAAAATGCCTCGGAAATGAATAATTACAGAGCACACGCCGTTTTTGCATTACTAATATGGAAAAATTAGGAAAGCATTATTCTGAGTGTTTGTGCTTAGTCGCACTAACGCACCCCCTCCCCACACAAACGGTGGGTTAGTCACTCTCTGTCCCAGCCGTCTCTATGGTAATCTAGGTCATGAGGTTCTGATCAGGACCAGGTTTCTAAAAACGTCTTTGCGCAAAGATCGTTTGTGTGCTGCCAGAGGAAATCGTTCTGAGCACCCTCTCAAACAATGATAGTTTTAGAGGCAGTGCAGCACCATGAATGCAAAACAAGGCTTGTCAAAGATAGTATGCCGCCATATTCACATTCATTATCTGGAGAACTTAACAAAATATTTAACATGCATAATATATTTGCTAGCAATTCATTCTCCACCAAGTATGCATAGTTAATGTAGTGTTGATTACGCTTCTGTTGAATAGCTATAGAAATAATGAGACAGATAAATAATGACCAAGGGGATTTCGACAGAACACAGCACTGCCCTCAAGATGTAACGATGGGAAACCCAAGGTTAGGCTGTTTGCGTGTGTTGTAAGAGATCAGCTGCAACTGCATGTAAAGGTATGAAGTGAATGTATGAAGTGCAAGTGCAGTCTAGTCTCACTCAGTCTGAGTGGCAGGAACCTTGGATTTAAAGTACTGTACAACAATCAGAGACCATTATGTAATTTCCATTCAAAACAGCAATTAAATAGAGGTTATTATGAGTTAATTCTGAGGAAAAGAAAGTAAGTGGAAAAACAGAAGTTTCTATAACTACTGCTCAAAACATTTTTTATAATATATACTCCTAAGAACCGTGCAAGACCTGGTGGACCACCAAAACTGTCACCATCAGATAAACAGTACATTCATCTTTGAGAGGGAGGAGACAATCAATCTCCACTCTTGTTTCAGATCTGAAAAAAATCCACAGGTGTTTCTGTCCATCCTTCCACTGTGAGAAGACAACTCAACACTATGAGTCTGAAAGGATGAGTAGCTGTTAAGAAGCTGTTACTTGGATCATTAGAACCATAAAATGCAACCAACTTCTATGACTGAACTTTGAAGGGGGTGTGGAAAAATATCCTTGCTGATTTCTTTGAAAACTAAAAGCAAGTCTCCTGAAAAGCATGGAAGCTATAATAAAAGCAAATTGACACAAAATACTTATAATAGAGGTCAATGGGAAACCCATTTCTACTGGGCGGTTTGGGCCTAATTGGGAATGCCACCGTTGTTTTTTTTAAATTTCTGCAAAATTCAGTCGTTGAGATGAGATGACTGTTTACGTCTTAACTTGTTAATTATTCAGAAATTTTGAAAAATCAGTGGAATTGATCTATTATTAAGTGGAATTTATCCTGGTTAATCCGACCCCAAGCCTTGACTAATTTTTAACAATGACAGCATGGATACTTTGGTTCTTCATTGTTCACATTGATGATTTATCTAATGACATGAGAAACAAGGTCTTGCCTCAAAGAAAGATATTGTGCTGTATTGACTAATTGGAAACAGATGTAGGCACAAAAAGCTGATGAGCAGAACCACGTATTATCTTGGAAATGTACGAGTAGCTATGTAAAAAAAGGTTTGTCTCCTTAGCCAGCGCTTTTGTCTGTTGGTGACAGCAGTGGCACCTTCGCTGAGCATATCATTATGGTTTATGCCTTCCCTTGGGCTGGCTTCCGGAGAACAAGACAATAATGCTGTTCTGTCACTTCTTTCTTTCTGCCTCAAAGCCCTCTGTCCCCTACAACCACCCTGTATGTCTATCTTTTTAAAATAGCTTTCTGCCTTGCACATGTCGTGCCTTAGCCAATAAACAAAGGCATTTTTGCATACATTTGCTTCAAATATTTGTCAACATTAATCCTGCTTTTGATAAGGCAGTGCTTATCTACAGCAGTTCTTGGCTGGTGAAATGACTGCCTCCTCTGTCTAACCCTCTATATAGCCTTTCTATCGATTATATCACACAGACTGAACACACTGAAATGCTGCCGTGGGAGTAGGTGAAGCGCAGTAATTTCAGAGCTATAATGAGGCGAGATTTACTGCCTCGTTCCTTTGCATGTACTGCACACACCCAGTCATTCCCCATCTACTCAATTCCACTGTGAAATTATACCAAATCCATGCGGAACTCATGAAGGCTTGGACTTGTGAGACAAGCCTTCAGCTATCCTAATAGCATATTTAATTTAGAATTTTTTCTGCATGACAGTCTACAATTGCTTTTTTCCACCAGTAGTCTATTTCAATATCACTGAAATAAGAAAAGCATTTTGGGGGGGTTTATTTATTTCCTTTTTCATTGTTTGAAAATGCGCACTGCCCGTTACATGTTAACATTGCATCATGAGTGGGTCAACAGAAAATTTGAAAGATAAATATTTTCAGTCACATTAGTACATATAAAGTCTTTGGAGATACAAGGTTTTCCTATGGCAGCAAGAAGTTTTATACTGGTCATTAGTTTAATAACCAGTCAAGTGGCTGGCTGTTGTGCAATAATTATGCCTAACTGTAACTATAATACAGACACTATTATCAGTATCAACTGTACTACCTCTGCCTTTTTGCACAGACTAGACTTTTAATACTTACATATTATCGCTGTCTTCAGAAAAATAACTTTATAAGAGAAGGAAAAACATTCTTAACTTTTAACTTTTGTAAGGTAATGTAACAAGACTTTGGTCCAAAATCATTTTCAATTGGTCTGTTCAGCATGAATTATTAACAAAGTATAGCTGCTGTCATTTTAACGTTGTGTAAAATTATAAAAATCAACAAAAATTGAGATATACTTTGTGAAATACTCTTTGTACTGCTGTATTGCTGTTGTGGTAGTATAGATAATATGTATGTGGTTTTAAATGACCCAGAACATTGGAAAATCTCAATTGTCTTTGTGGTTTTGAAATAAGAGATTGATGCTTTATTTCAAATTTGCTTTAAATGTGCAGCATGCTCCGCAGTCAATACACTTCATATAAGGAAAGTAACCTGGAAGTAACCTTCAGCCTAGTGAAGTTTATCCTTGTCATTCAGGTGGAAGTGATAAGGAGTGTTGTTAGCAGTGGTGGATGATGATGGGGAAAATGATTAAACGTTGTGCTGTTCCTGGCTGTCAGGAAGCATATATATCATTGTGGCCTTCCATAGGATCCAGATATCCCATCACAGAGCACTTTAGTCCAAACATAACAACTTGTTCATTACATTTTCACTGAATGAGGCATAATACACAGCAGCCAATTAGAACAGAGTTTATTTAAAGGAACAGTAACAAGACCAGCATGTTTAATTCTCTTTGATAAACAGAGGGTGGAAATGTTACAACAATAATAAAATACCAGAAAAATGAAGTTTGTCAACATTTTTTGCTCCTGCAGTTTCGTATTGTTGTGTGTGCCACGCATGTTGTATGAATTAAAAGCTTTTTGTTACATCATTCTGGTATAATGACTGAAAAATAAAATTGAATATGTTTGTTTCTTGCATTTTCTCTCTTCCTTTCTCAGGTCCAGCTCGTGTTGCTCCAGTGGGTGGCCTGGTTCTTGCGAATGAAGCGGCCTGGCGAAGGCGAGGATCCCGAGCGTCCTCCCTGCGCTCCTCACCTCCGCCGCTGCTCCTCAGGCTCTCAGAGCGGCAGCCTCCCCAACGCTGGAGGTTCAGCCTCGGCCGACCTACACCATCACCACCATCACCCACCTACCACCCTTCACCCGCTTCACCCCCAGAGCCTGCTTCACGCGGCAGCTGCTGCAGGCCACCCCAACCACCTGCACTCGCAAAGCAACAGCGCCAACAACAATGGCAACCTGCTCTACATTGGCTTCTCCAGCCTGGATGAGGCTTCACCGCCACCCCTCCTGGCAGAGTCCGTCCAGAGGAACAGCATGCAGGGCGGCACCCGTCCTGCTGTGGTGTCGCCCCCAGCTGTGCCATCCTCCAGCCCGCCCCCGCATCTCCCTTCGCAGTTCTGCAGCCCCCCGCCCCCTCCCACGCCGAACGTGGAAGCCCCCGGGTGTCCCAGCACAGTGTCGGGTGGCGGGGGAGGCTGCTCATGCTCAGGAGCCAGTGGAGGAGGTGATCCGCAGCTCCAGGTGATCCTGGATGAGGTGCGCTACATCGCTGACCGCTTCCGCGCACAGGACGAGAGCGAGAGCGTGGCGGAGCAGTGGAAGTTTGCTGCAGCTGTCATTGACCGCCTCTGCCTGGTGGCATTTAGTGTCTTCAACATCATCTGCACCATCTCCATTCTCATGTCGGCACCCAACTTTGTGGAGGCTGTGTCCAAGGACTTCATCTGACGAGTCGTGTTTAATCGGAGAGAACCCAAAATTGTGGATGCATGAAGGTCTGACTGGAACTGGGAGATCTTTCACTCTCCCAAACTGTTTATCAAGGACCTTCATGTCAGATGTTTATAAATTGTGGATGAAGACTGGACCATGCCATATAACTAGAAGAAGAAGGTATGTTGGGGAACATTGATTTTTCAGGCGCTCTCAGTTATGCCAGACTTTGGTGGGGGATAGTGGAGAAGGAACACCTCACTGGACAAGGCTGTGGAGTGAAGAGCATGTGGAGTCTCCCTAATTGGCCAAGCATTCTAGATTCAAGTTAGGCTAAAGGATAGAAAACACACAAAAGACACACAATTGACCTCAAAACTGTGGCAATGGCATCTAGTCAGACGTTAACCCCAGAGATAGGGGAAGACAATTTAATTTCAAAGGATGTAACTGTGGCATTTGTCTGTTATGTTCTCTTAGAGCAGTACAAAGTCGGTCTGAAATGTCAAAATATATTTTGAGAATGTGTGCGTCTGGGTGAGCGTGTTGTTCTGAATGGCAAAAAAATAGAGCTGGTTGGAGGTGAAAGAGAAGTTCAGGAAGTCTGTCTATGAAGAGGCGGAGTGGGCGGTATCGACTGAAGGCAGAAATTTTTGTTACAGAAGAAGAGGAGGGTGAGTTTTTTTTCCCCCTAAAATATCGACAGCACACAGTGGAGAGTGGGCAGGCTGTATCTTCACTTGAGCGAGGGATAATAGATTAATGCAGACGTTGGGAGAGAAAGAAAGACAGATCTACTGAGATAGAGATGGATAGAGAAAGTAAGACATCACAGCAGAAAGAGAAGAGGGGAGGACAAGGACAAAGAGTGAGAGCTAAAGAAAAGAAAGATAAGGCAAGGAACGATAGGGAGTAAATGGAGGAGATGGGTTATGGTCAGGCAGGAAAGTGAGACTGATAGAAAGAAAAAGAAAGAAGGAAGGATGAGCAGAGTTAGATAAATAACACAGTTAGAAGAGAGCGAGACTCAACAACACTTTACTGGCAAGGGAGGAAATGACCTCGCCGCTGGACAGAGATAAAATAGTGCGTCGCATCCCGAAGCCTAGTGCAGAGACATCACTCGTTTAGAAAACGAAAGAACAGTACAGCCTCACTCAGAGCAGAGAAGAGAGATAGATGAAACTAGAGATGGAGAACTAGAACGAATCCCTTGAGTTTGTGATGGAGCAGTGGCACCGAGACAGTAAAGACACCTTCAAAATCCTCCAGACTTTCTCCTTTCTTTCCCTCTTTTCTCCTTATAGCAGAAGGCAACAGACAATAGAGAGTAGCTGCAGCAGGAAAAGCAGAGTGGCTGCAGAACCCACCCACCGTCATTTTCCAATCCTGGACCAAACGGAGCATTTCTAGCATTCACATTTAGCTGATGCTGTTGCCCAAAGCAACACGCTTGAAGCTGCTGCAGGGACAGTCCCTCTGGGAAGAAGTGCCTCGCTCAAAGGCACTATAGCGGTAGCCATGAGCAGGAATCAAACCCACGAGCCACAGCCAAGTACACCAACAACCTGGCAACTACCACACAGTGTGAACATGGATGGCTTTTGATATTCCAGTTTTGATGTCTCCTTTGACCTCTGTCTGTTTCCTCCTAGGGCCCACATCATGAAAATGACCGAATTCTCCTTAACATTTTTTTTAAATAAAAGAGTTTGATGGAGTATGTGAACATTGTGCCATTTGCTCTCGAGTCCACATGTATAAAAACAGTCCACTTTGAATTTGTGATGATCGTGATGTCTGTATTTGAACAGGCTATAGCAGAAGCAAGAAGTGGACTGCTTTTTAAATGTGGTGTTTCACTTGTGAAGGGGTCAGCCAATCAGAACTTGCACGTATCATATAGATAAACATATAGGTTGGAGCCAAACTCTTTAGGAAAGTACAGTACTGTGCAGAAGTCAGAGACCACCCTTTAACTATTGAATTTCCAGTCAAAACAGCTGTTAAGTACTAATTCATAAGGTATTCATTTTTCACAGCATATTTAACTGAAAACTACACAGAAGCCTCAACAACTAAATATAATTTAAAATGGTTCGTTATTTAGTGTATGTGCACTCTTTGCCTTTATTACAGCTTCATAGAGATTTGCTTGCAGTTTTCTTGTAGTTCAGTTGTAGAAGTTGGTATATTTTCTGCTTCTCGCAATCCAAGTAATCCCAAACACGTTCAGTGATGTTGAGGTCATAAAGGTCCAGTAACAAAAGCAGCACGATTGATTCTAAGGGATAAAAAGAGTCCACTTATAACATTTAGGTGGTTTCATGTAGCAAAAAGAGCCATAATTCATGTTTACATGAGGGTCATTCCGTTCACCTAGGTCACATTATGGATTTCCATGAAAAAAATACATGCAAATTTCACGTTTTATGCTTTTTTTTTAATTCATGAAGCTATACAGAATTTCAGATCTGTGCTCCAGATCTGGGTATAAACACAACACTTAAGTTTACGACTTAACATTTAATCAGAACATTTAATCCTTCTTGTTTTGGCCAGTGCTCAAAAAAGTGCTCACAAAATCTTAAAAAACTGGTAATATTCCCCTCATTTTTATTACACTATGAAAAAGTCATTTCTGCATGTAGTACCTGAAAGTTTAAAATGACTGTAAAACCAAAGATCATTTTCAGAGAACATTTTTACCCTATATTTTCTCAAAAGCAGTCTAGTCATTTTATTACATGTATATTTTCTCTGAGTGTATATATTCATTTCTGTTTGGGATTTAAAGAGGAAGGTGATTTTGACGCTTGATAGTTGTCAAAAATTAATAAAAAATTGATCACACAAAAAAAACTTTACCGGACTAAAGACAGTTATGTTTCATTAACATGTAAAATATGTTAATGGTTTAATCATTTTTTAAAATGCATAATTTAAAGAAATAGTAAGACAGTAAATAGAAAGGCCTGGCTATCTAAATGAACATATAAAATGCTTCTGAAAATCTGTATCCTTTTTTTCCTACGTTTCCTGATGATGGGGGACTATTTTAAACAGAATCTCTTGCCAAGTCATTAAATTAAACTGGTTTACCTACATCGTAGCTACAGACAATATTTTAAAAAATGATGACAAATGTCAAAAGACACTTTTTACATTATCCAGACTTAGAAATGTCAAGCTTGTGATGCCACTTTGAACTCATGGTGATGTTTATTATTTAATAATCCATGGGTTTGTTATAGATGTGCAAATACTAGTAGGCAAAAAATATTTTGAAGACTGAAATAATAAATTCAAAGATGATAGATTTCACACGCTGACATTAAAAAGGTAATCTCCCCCTGAAGTAGAGTGACCTGTTGTAGGATTTTAGATAAAATTAAATATTATTCATAGACTGTTTATATCTAGTTAATCTCTCAGCTCAGTTCAGCCATTATGTAAGCAGTTCAAGTCAATATTCAAAATGTGATTTAGAACTCGCTGGGGCAAATGTTAAAAATTCATAACTAAAAAAATATTTGGAGTAGCTTTGAGCTTTTACATTGCTGCATGTATTAAATAGAAGGTTCTTCTTGCATTTTTTTCATGGAGATCCATAAATTGACATGCAGTTGGTCAGTTGGTGTGGAATAGCCCTTGTGTAAAATGAATTACGACTGTTTTTGGTGAGTAAAACCACACAAACGTTATAAGTGAGCTTCAGTCCTGGAAAAAAATTACATAAAATACAAGACAATTGTTTTTATTTTAAAAAACCTTTTAACAATTATTAGTTAACAAAGCCACTGTTTAATTTAGGGGTAAAAGCTCAATCACTCACATGCAAGAACTTTAAGCTCCCTTGCTACAGTTTGTAGTCTGGTTTTACGTAGTTTGATCTTATCCAGCCTTGTTCAGTGATAGTTATGTATGTGATGAAGAGCAGAACTGGAGGTTTGGACTCAATGGGAACATCACTGTATAGGGTTTACCCCTATAATGTGCTGGAATGGAAATTTTGATTGGATGTGACGGTGAGTGAGATCACATAGATCTCATTGCTGACTGAGGTTGTTACCATTTACTCTTTCTTTCGACAAATTGCTGTTAAGGGTGCCTTGAACAGACCTCTGTTTTCACAGTCATACAGAGAATTGGTTACAACAAATGAAATTCCCAGTGTTTTAATGTCTTAGATCCACTGTCTTTGTTATTTTTGCCTAATTTCAGTAGAAACCTGCCATTTGTCAAATGACATCTTGTGGAAACTGAGTCAAGTATCTGAATTCTCAAAGGGTTTCCTGCCCTTGTGCTGGGGGTAAGATCCAGACCAGCTGAGAGGTGTTCTGTTGAGTTGTAGCATCATATAGTCATTTGATCCTGTCCCTTGGATGGACAGATCTAATTTCAAGAAGACTCTGAGATGAGGTTTATCTTTTAATCAGTTATGAGTTTAAATTAGAGCAATATTTCTTTTATGAGTTTTGGGCAAAACTTCCCCCCAAAACCACACACGCACTATTGAACATTCCCTATGGCTTCATGTGGCCGTGCTGACAAATCTAACGTTATTGATGAAACAATGTACTGTTACTGTTGCTGTCAACTTGCTCAACCTCGAAAAACTACACTAGGCCCACCAGAGGTGCTTATCACTGACAGCGTAGGGCTGTGAACCTGCAGCTGTCTTCACTTCAGAATAAGTGAGATTCTCATCTGGCAGTAATTGTGGTACTATATTAAAGTCTCATAGCAGAGACGGTAAATCCGACTGCACAGTTGACAGCTCTGTCAATGAGAGTCCTTGGAGGATGTCAAAGGAAGGTTTTTGTAAGTGGGAATTCTGTTTAAGGCTGGTATCAACAGTCTAAAACCAATGGTCAAGGCATCTTAGACTTAGACGCAGGTTACAACTAGATAGTAACTCATAAGTTATTAATTTTTCAGTGTAAGAAAAAAGCTGAAAATATATTTAACATGAAGTTATTCAGAAGCTTCAACAACTAAATATAATTTAGTTGAGTGTTTTATCTGGTCTTTATTACAGCTTCATACAGATTTGCTTTTGGTTTTTCAAAGAAATCTGCAGGGATATTTTTCCACAACTCCGAAGTTCAGTCTTAGAAGTTGGTTGCATTTCCTGCTTCTTATGATCCATGTAATCCCAAAACGTTACTGATGTTGAGGTCTGGACTCTGGGGTGGCCATTTCTTGTTATGAGAACACCAGCAGCTTCTTTGTTTGATTTTCCAAATGTTATTTTTTGTATCTGTTTCCTTTTCTCAGTCAAACATTTTAACAGCTTCACATCCTTTCAGATTCATAGTGTTGAGATGTCATCTCACAGCGGAAGGATGGACAGAAACACCTGTAGATTTTTCAGATCTGAAGTAAGAATGGAGCTTGATTTTCTCTCTCAAAGATGAAAGCTACCAGGTCTTGCACAGTTGTTAAGGGTCCCATTTTCTTGGTTATCTTCTATTCATTTTTTGAACTCCGGTTTTAGAAACTCCTGTTTTTTCACATACTTTGCTTTGACTTTCTTCTTCATTATACAACTGGACTGTCTTATATCCTAAAAAAGTGATTAACTCGTACTTAATGGCGATTCAACTGGAAATTAAAAGAATGAATGTTGGTCTCTGACTTCTGCACAGTGCTGTAGATCTCCAGGTGGAGGATTGGTGACTGCTGGGGTACATGACAGTGTTTAAGAAGTAACACAAGCCTCCAACCCTGCGTTTAATAGAAGATCTTTATATCAAGCCGAGACGTGAGCAATATGGCAATAATGTCACTCAATGACTTTGATAAACAATACACACTACATATCAGTATATTTAGAGGTTTGATAGGTTGAAACTGTTTTAAAAAAAAAACCAGAAACACGACATTTCATAGAATACTGTCAAAAACCTCAACTACACTGTCAATGAAAAGGTGCTGTGCAGGTACATTTTTCGTTCATCAAGGTACAAACAATGTAAATGTACTTCAAAGGTACAACAGTGGTTTTAAGACCCAGTTGTGTACCTTAAACAAGTTTTTCACATACATATTCATACCTTTTCATAACCTAATGTTTTACAACAGAACATTAAACTAAAAAGGCTGGAGATGAGATGGAGTGTGTGGAGTCAATACAACTTAGAAAATGTAATTTCAATGGAATACGGTACAATTACTTTCCCTAACTAAAGGTACTGAAGACGTACCCTTAAGGGCACCACACCAGGAACAGTTTAATACATTTTTTCTATAAGTGTACAATGAATTTTGTTCAATGTTTTACACACTGTGCTACAGTAACTGTGCTTAAACAGGACTATTTATGCTCTGTTTGTAATAAAACATGTCAGTGTCAAGTACTGACCATATGTTCCATCTGCTCAGAAAGAACACACTGTGTGGTAATTTATCACAATAATGGTAATATACCATCATATTGCCCATCCCTGTTCCAGCCTTGCACATGGCATTTGTCAAGCCAGATTTTGTGAGATCAGCTTGTTGATTCCTTGCTTCTCTCGAACCCCTTACCGTGCAGTTTCTCCTGCACCCATCTTTAGCCTTAATGGCCGAGGCAGTGACAGGAGGTGATTTTCATTCATTCTGTCTCCCTCTCTTCCTCTCTCACTCTCTCTTTAACCCCTCCAACCCCCCCACCC